GTGATACAAGGGAGCTTGTGACCTCTTCCTGTTGGAGGTGTGAACCCTGCAAATCACAGACTGCCTTCAGCAAGGTCTGAGCTGAAGAGTGTAGGAAGTTGGTGGGCCAATGCTCTTGAGCTCCATTTTCTGGGCAGGAACTGGTGCATGTGCTCTCTGCATGTGCTGCTGCCCTGTCATAGCTGTTGGCAGTGGCAACTAGTGGTTTTTCTGCAGCCCTTGTGAAGCAAAGAAGAACAGGAGTCTCAAAGGGGTAAGAAATCTAAGTTCCTGTTGCTATGGGCAGCGTTACTGCACAGTCCTGTTTTATTCTTAAGGAATGTCTCCTCTTGTATCTGTCTGAAGGCTGATGAGCCTCTGCACATACCAGCCTTTTGACCTGCAATTTTCTTTTTATCTCCTGGCCTCAGCCTGCACTAGGTGGCTTGGGAAGCAGCTTACTCAAACGACAGCTTTGCTACAACAGCAAGGCCAAAGCCCTTCAACATCAGCATGATATTTTCCATCTGATTACTGCACACTGTGGTAAATGAATTTTGATAATGTATGAGTCAAATTGCCAGCAGTAATTTATATTAGTAAAAATTATTACCAAAGCTGTAACCATATCCAAATCCTGTTTCTAATTGTCTCTACCTTTGTAGAGTAATCTATTCAGTGTCCTAAAATGCAGACATTGGCATAACTAGATATGTGTATAAAAATATGTTATCTGGAAGCATCATCTTTAAAGCTGACAGAGAAAAGGGGAATTTTTGCAGTCACTCCCAAAATTGTGAATGCAAGATTCTATCAGTGCCACAAGGCTATAAAGACAAACTAGTGAGTGTCGATTGGTGATCAGGACTTCCTGGATTTTGCGCCAATGTCAGCTTTAGGGCAGTTCTTGTATAGGATCTTATAACAGACTATTGTGGCTGCTCATGTTTGATAGCAGAGCTAGAGATGTTGTTACATTCTATATAAGACAGCAATTAAACCAACTAGTTTGGCAAATATCTTAATTTATAAATATGTGGACAGAATTGGCCACATCTAATTTGTGTTTATTATGCATTGCCTGTGTCTTGATCTGGTATCCTGCTTCTGAGGCTTGGTTCTTCTGAATACAACACTCGTTTCAGTAAGCTTACATTGCATTCTGTTGATTGGCCTTTCCCAAGTCTAATAAACATATTATTTGCGGGAGGTATCGTTGGCTGCTTCACAGTAAATTTGCAGTTGTCTCTGGTGTTTGTATAAAGCAGCAATCTGGTTGCTGTTGATGCTTCAGAAGTGGGTTGATGCTTCAGAAATGGATGCACAGAATAAATTAAGTGTCCTATATTAATCTAATACTGGGCTCTTGAGGCTTGTTTGAAGTGATGTACACCACCACCCTTTCTTCTTTAGTCGCAGCACAGAAAATCAATTTGGTCTGGTACCCCCTCACATGCTTCACCTGAATCTCCTGCTGCCTGACAAAAAAGAGAATTCATAGGTTAGCTCAGGTTAATGCTTTGCCATAGCATATGTTATGAAATTTTTGAAGAGCTAAGTCTGATTAGAATTGCTCTCTAATTGATAACTAATCTAGCTGCATGTGCACTATACCACCTGCCAGGTGAGTTCTAGCTGCTCTGCATTGGAGGTTCAGGTGAGCTGTCCGTGATATTGGACTATTTGTAGGATGATATGAAGGGGTGTCACTCCCAGGCACTGCCAGCCAAGTGTCTGAATAAGGATTGAACACCTTCAGATTAGATTTTCCCTGCAGTTCTGCATGTGATCCTGGACATATGTTCATGAACGTACTGAGGAATTGCCTAGTGGTGTGTTTTACTTTCTACTTCCCTGTAAAAAGGAAGGGCTGGAAAAATCTTTTCTGTTCATTGCACATGTCTTGCTGCTATGATTTATTGCAGCTGGCAACTAAACTCCATGCAGGTGTTCACACACCCCTGGTGGGATGGGATAGAGAATTGTGAGGGTAAAAGTGAGAAAACTCATGGATTGAGATAAACACAATATAAAGGTAAAGCCAAAGCTGCATGCACAAGCAAGGCAAAATGAAAAATTTATGCACCACCTCCCCTGGGCAGGAAGGTGTTCCTGCCATCTCCAACAAAGCCAAGCCTCTAAAATGGCCTGTTTAAGGCAGTTGTGTATCCATGGTTTTCCTTTGTGATGCTTGACAGAACACAAGCAAATTTTGAAATCAGAGCCTGCCTCAGCTGCTATCCATCTTGATTTTCTGTTTGCATCTGTCTCTCTCTCTCTCTCTCTCTAAAGTTTCTGCATTTATCACTTTCAGCTGATGTAGCTGGATGTCCTCAGGAAGACTATCACTCTTATCTGCTGGGACTTTCCTCTCATAGAAATCTCTATGATTTAGTTGAATTATTTGTTGAGAGATTATTTGCAGTCCACAAGTTAAACCAAGAACAACTCTGGATTGCCTGAGATACACTTTAAAAGATGTTCTCAGAGTTTCTCCTGCAAGTGAATCTAAAGAGAAGGGAGGGTTTGCTTAGAAAATGGGCTGGATATACAGGTTTTTGTGTCCACTCCAAATGTTTGCTGTTATGTTTGTGTATATGTGATGAAAACAGGAAAAAAATAGAAAATGGGCTGGATATACAGGTTTTTGTGTCCACTCCAAATGTTTGCTGTTAGTATATGTGATGAAAACAGGAAAAAGATAAAATTGGTGGGTGTCAAAAGTGATGGAAATAATAGTCATGTTACTAGGAAAATGCATCTATTGTAAAATATGAGATTAGAAGCTAGAAAGAAGGAAAGGAGCATTTAAAATTTGATATTCTACTTCAAAGAAAAAGTATGGTATTATCTTGGTTTTTTAGGATTGCTAGAAAACAGGCCCGCAAACTATTACCTTAAGGCCCTTCCAGGGCATGTGTTATAAGCTGGGTATACTTAGAGAGACTCATGGTAGCAAGGCACAGTTGTTTCCCTACTGGCACTATTGAAACTCATCGTAGTCACATCCCTAGGATTTGTAGTTTTTGCTTACAAGGGAGGTTTTGTGTGAGAAGATAGTGTCATCTGCCATTTCTCACTGGCAGACACATTCATTTTGCTAAACCTCCTTTGTTCATAGATAATTTCTTACTTTCAAATGTTATGCAAAAATTACATAATTGTTTTTTGTGTAGCATTTGACTGTAGTGAGTCATTTAGACAAAGAAAAATGTATCACTGAAATAGAACTGTCGTGGTAAAATAAGGGCTTTAGCCTGCATGTGGTCTAAGCCCTATGAGAGAAATCTTGATAGGGTTTTCAGAGAAAGCAAGCCATTGCAATTTCATCTTCATGAATGCATTTCTAGCTTAAAAGGAGCTTAAACTCTAAGCCTCACTAGCAATTTACTTAGAAACAGCTACTGCATGTGGCTTTTTTCAATCTGGTGTGGGTTATCTGCAAGCCTCCTTCCCTACATCTAACTACTAGTGGTAATTCCATTAGATGATTATAACTGGCATCCTCAACAGACAGATTTAGTCATAATTGAAAAACAACTTCAAGTGTATTTAATCAACTGTGTGGTCATTTTATTAGTGGAGACTCATGTATCATATAACTTTGCCTTAAGTGAAGTGTATTTATGGCCTGGGGCTGATAGCTGTTATATTCCCAGGGGTGGGAAATCCTTAAGCTTGCATGAAATTGCACCAGTTTCTCAGAAGCAGGTAGAATTGGCCTTTAGAAGAGAATTTTTTTTAAAATTTTCATGCAACTGCCTAATTTTTTTTTGGCTAACAATAGTTAACTTTGGCTGGTGATGTGTGATTATGTGCAATTTAGTTAGAAAGTACAGATTCAGAGAAAGATTATACAGTGAAATCTGATGCATGGAGAAAGCTGCCACTGAAAAAATGCTGGTTTGTAACATTTTGACTTCAGTGTACTACCTAAATAAGGTTTAATTTAACATTGTTTCCTGAGGAGTTTGCTAAATATGTGACATCAAATCTGAGTATTTTCCTTGATGGAAGGTTCTTTCCTCACCTGAATGTTGCCACATCTACCCTAGGGTGAGATGGGCAAGAGACAGAGAAATGAACAGTGGGGCAGCGAGATTTCAGGGAAGTAATCCAGGGGTTTAATTTTCTGATGAAAACCTATGGGGGATGTCCTGTGTGAAGTTAAAATCCATGTCCCATCTTGTACTTTGCAGTCATTTCATTGTTCCTTTCCAAGGCCTTTCTGCTGCCCATGATTTGTTTTGCAGAGAAGGGGAGAAAAAATGTAGTAATCAGCTGGAAAATGTAAAAATGTATTGTCATCCCTCACCACCCTGCTCTGTCAAAACATGGCAAAGTACAAGTAGGACACCCCTGCTGAGGTGCTGCAGGTATTCCTTTCTAAGGTAGTATCAGGGTGAGTGGGATGACCTGCAAAATACAGAAAAGTAAAAAATGTAGATTTAATTCCTCAAGGGCTTCATCTGAGTGATCGTCATCAGAGCAAACTAATCACAGTAAGGAAACAGCAACAGATTCTTACAGCTTCTCTTTGGACTTGCTGCTTCTGCACTTAGGGATGAGGTGAACCCTACTGCCAGCCCAGGGTCCCCTGGACTGTGCCCACAGCAAGTTTCAAGTCCCAAGTAAGATTTTGCTTTGGTTTGTGAATGTTGGTGCACTGCACTGAGTTCAGGTTCTTGGTATAATTATGTACTGATTCCTGTTTTGCTTGTTACAAGCTTTCAAGTGCTTCTGAGGTGCCAGCATGTTGCTGACTGATGAACTGACAATACAAGCTTTAATCCACACTGCCCCTTTAGCCTAATACTTGATGATGGAAGATCCAAAGAAACAGTTGAACCAGGTAGAAAGACCCATCAAAGCCAAATAATTCAGCTAACATGTTTTGTAACCAGTGTGTTTCTCAGAAGCAATAAGATTATGTGGATCAGCTGGTGTGCTTTGTGTTTGGTGAAAAGAAGCTTATTTAAATTCAGAGAGCCAGGAAATCTGTGTCTCAGTCCAGAAGGAAGATGGGTTCCCCAGAAGACACTGACTATCCTCAAATCATTGTGCAATACAGCAATGGATTTTTAATCTCAAAGGTAAGAAATATAACTCTTAGACTATGCAGAAAGAAATATTCAGGGATTCTCTTTAGGTCCCAAATGTAAGTCTTTGGAAGAGGTGAAAGCACTGCTGTAATGACTGGTTTCCCAGACATATTTTTAAGGTGCAAAGGCAAAACTAGTAATTCCACTCTTCTTATTGTTTGTTGATGTTATTTGCTTAAGCACGTGGGCATAATATTATAATATCCAGTGCAGTGGATGATTTTTTCCTCATTTACTACTTAACTTTCCTATTATCCCTTGCTGCACCTCTGGCCAACATGGTAACAGAAGGAATGCTCTTTGGGTTGTGCAAAAACAGCTGCACCTTAAGCTCCTGAAAGGCGGAGCTGACAATAAAGAGAGGAAAAACAGGTAACGAAAAATCACTTTGTCTGAAAAAAGAAGTGCCCAATGCTTTCCAATTTAACACTGTTAGTACTACCAGTTTTTGAGAAACAGCTTCAGCTTTGGTTAAGCCCTGTTCTTACTCAGGGTAAAAGGAGCTTCATTGTACAGGACTCATTGTAGCTCAAATGATTGTAGATATAGGCATTCAATTAAATTGATGTCTTTTTTACTGTTTCAGGAGTGTTTATGTGACCACAATAATAGGCTGATACTTGTAAGGTTGACTGTGCATACCTAAAGAAAGATGGTTGGTTCTTGTATGATTAGCTATGTCTGTCTGAAGGTTGACCAGTGTTGCTGGAGAAGTTGCACAACTCTATGGAAAGACTGGGCAATTTTGTTCAGTTAAATGAAGCAGTTCTTCTGGATGAGAGGAACCTCCCTGCTTCTGGAAGATCACTGTAGTCCTTCACATCAGTCCCTGAAAACAAGGTCCATGGAATGGGATATTCCCCCTATTGCAAGCCATAAGAGAGTCTCCAGGGTTCACTGAAGCCTGTGTTAGATCCTTAGTTAAAGAAGAGAAACATAAACAGACAACAAGCACCCCCACCTAGTCTTGCCTTTGTTCTTTCTAGGAGATTGTGAGAATGTGTTTCTAGACTAAGGAAGAGGCAGGGACATTTACACACAAACTCTGGTCTCTAAATGTGGACTTTTGGAAGCAAAAAAGCATTGGTTGGCTTCACTGGAAAAGGAAAAAAAGTACAACTAATGAGTGCATTACATTCATAGTATGTTATATTGGTTCTCAGATAAATGACAATTTAATAATTGGACTTGTTTATGTGAAATACAAGTTTATCTGAAATAAATATTATTAAATTTATATTTTCCTTATTTAAACAGCTTGTGAAATGCAGTAGGCTTTGTGCTTTCACTTCATCCCTCACTCCCATCTTTCCCTACTCCCAGGTTATGTTCACTGCCTGTGAGCTGGGGGTGTTTGATCTTCTTCTGGAGTCAGGAAAGCCTCTGTCTTCAGATGCCATTGCTGCAGGTCTGGGTGCCAGCACCATGGGGATGAAAAGATTGCTGGATGCCTGTGTGGGATTGAAGCTCTTGGCAGTAGAGATGACACAAGAAGGAGGTAATAAAGGCAGAGGAATAGGAATAAATTGAAGGATTTAAACCTCTGATGGTTTTGAAAGTGAGGTAAAAGCTGATACCAAATGCTAAGTCAGTTAATGTAGCTGGAAGAAGGAGAGAATCACTCTTAGGAAAGAGGAGGCAAATGCCAGCATGATCACAAGTATAAAATGAAACACAGGTGCAGGGCTCAATATCCCTAAATGTCTTTGTACAAGAGCCTCATGTGACTTTGAAGAAGATATTTAGGATAGCTCCACAAGCTCTGTGGAGCTTGTCTCAAGAAATCTTTGGGGTATGGGCAGGATTTTAAACTTAAAACAAAATGCCGGGGTGGATGGTAACAGCATGATTTAAAACAGGTCTTGTTTTTCTTAGGGTTTTACCATTATGTGAACTATTTTCTTAGGTCATTGATCAGAACTGAGAGGTGATAAAAGTTTTTCCTTATGTCAGAATTATGGAATCCACTTGGACAGAAAGGATCTCTAGCCATCAGACAGCTGGTCAGGACCACCTAGAGTCTCACAAGTTGTGTCCCCTGCTCTGCCTTGTGTTGGCATGCTCTGCTTTAGAGATTATAGTTGTTGCTCAAGGAGTTTGGGGAAAGCAGGATCTTCTTTTATATTCCTTTGGTATGCATGTCCTGTGGGTGAGTGATGCCACTGCAGATGCATTGGAGGGAGTGGGAGATTTCTGGGAGTCCTTTAGACATTCTGTTTGCAGAAGATCCAGTCCTAGTGAACTGAGGGAGGGTAGGTGTGGCTGGCCTGCTGTTTTGGGGACTTTCCCCCCACTGCTGACCTTGTTGATCAGAAAAAAGATTTGTCTGCAAAGAATTCTCACTTATATAGAGTACACCAAAAGCTTCCTCTGAGAGCAGAAGCCTATATGTAAATGATAACACTTTTTAAAAGGCATTGTTTTTCTCTCCTTTGAAGAAATATTTGGGGCTGGAGGTAATTGTAGGGAGATGGTGTTTACCTAGATTGAATGGGGTAGCACAGATTTCAGCAGCTCTCACTCACTGCTCATTGCAGTGGAAGGCTTTGGTTGTAGAAGCAATGTGGCTGTGTCTTTGGCTGTATAGATATCTTCTGATGATAAACAGCAAGCTGTACAACAGACTTCGCAAGGTGATATATATGTTAGTAAATATATTTATTTTACCCTTTAGCGCTCTACAGAAACACAGAAATTTCCAATGTCTACCTTACAAAATCAAGTCCAAAGTCTCAGTATCATATTATGATGTATTATTCCAACACAGTCTACTTGTGCTGGCAGTACCTGGCTGATGCTGTGAGGTAAGGAGGAATGCTATGTGCTGTCTGGTGCTTTGCAGCATCTGTGTCACTGCTCTCAGTGGTGTGTTTCTGGAGAAGAGCTCAATAAAGATGCTGGTGGGTTCTCAGAAATTAAAAGCAACAGATAATTCAGCTGGTAACATGGCCAATATGTATGCTTTTTTTTACCCCCTTGTTTTCTATTTGTGTATGTTCTTATTTTCCTTTTCCCTGTCATTGTAGAGATGATCTAGAAATCATATTTCTTTATGTGTCACCTTCAGTAAAGCATTTTATCATTACAGTGGATATTACTGGACGTGGCATCAACAAAGTAAATAATGAGTAGTGGTGGCTAAAGATCCTTCTGTTGCAAAGGTTTATAGGGGCAGTTTAATACGGTCTGGAGTCTCACCTGTCCATGCAACTGATGACCAAACGTGGTGTAGATGATGGTGAGGATTTCATCAGTCTTGTACCTTTACCTCAGGTGTGCTCCCATAAATCACAGACTCCTAGAATGGTTTGGGTTGGAAGAGACTCTGAAGATCATCTAGTTCCAACCTTCCTAACATGGATGCCACCCAGTAGATCAGATTGCTCAAAGTGCCATCCCACCCTGACCTTGAAAAGAACCAGTCATTCTTGTGAGAGGTTGAGAAATATATCAGCACTCTCATAGGCTTTTTCAATTGCTATTTTAGAGAAGGAAGAAACCAATATGAAAGAGCTTTTGGTGTTTCATCTAAAGACCCTTTCGGAACAATGTACAGGTAATCATTAGAATATTTATAGAAATTTTACTCTTCTTGTTGTGGATAAAACTAATGTGTTTAATTATGGCTCAGGACAATTAAATATGATGATGTGAGATTTGCTACCATCAGCATCATGCAATGTTTTTCTTCCTCAACAATATCAATTACTGGGACACTCTCTGATATTTTGAATAGAAGTATATAATCTCCTAATCTGAAAAACCTCACAGATCTCTGGCAGAGGCAATGGTAGTTGAAGGGAAAAAAAGTCCCTTGGAAATTCTGAGAATGAACAGCATAATACACTATTGGATTTCACTAGTCTTAATTCTCTATTTAAATGCATGATTTTATAGCTGTACACTCCTGATACAGTAATATTCAAGGTATGTTTATATGCAAAGAAGACATATTCTGTGTCAATAAAACCAGAGATTTTTTTTTAAGCTAAAATCTGTAGCAGCAGTTATATTATAGGAATCTCTGAGGATGTGGTAAGGAACCCTCTCTCTGTGCTGTCTCTGTTTGCATTGCTAGATCAGATGAAGAAATGTTAAAATTCATGGCTGGCCAGAACTCAGTATGGAGTATATGTGGCAGAGATGTTCTTGCTGCATTTGACCTTTCCCCTTTCACGCAGATCTATGACCTGGGAGGTGAGTGTCAGAAGATCTTCTTTAACAAGCCTCTGAACTGTCTTTTATAAGCTCTGCAGGGGAAAACAACTCCTATGTTAAATGATGGACAAACAATGGAAAGTAGGACATAGCAATATAAGGAGAATTTTACTGATTTGATTGGATTAAAAACAGAAATGTGAGAGTGATAGGAAGCTGAATGTTTTTCTCTACCATCTGATTTATGTAAGCAGTCACTCATCCCCTTGTGATTGTGGCAGCTTTAGCATTTTTCATGCCTTGCTTGACTAGACTCCTTCTTCCCCTTCAGTCACTGTTGTTGAGGTAGTGCCTGCAGCCTCTTATCCTGCAGCATCCTGCTGTCCCAGCACTGCTGAGTGCTGCCAGGATTCACAGGACGAGGTGGGCTCCCTCTTTGGCCTCCCTCACTTCTTCCCCAGAGCCTGGTTTAGTGACTGTTTTTCATTTTTCACCTTCCAGCACCTGCAGCTGGTCTGGCTAGGAGGGAGTGTAAGAGTGGTAATGGCAGGGGCTGACCCCACAAGTCTGGGTGCTGCAGGCCCCAGACCTCCCTGCAGAACATATGGTGACTTCTCCTGTCCCTCCTCTTCCCTCCCAGCAACACATAGGAAGGGCTGTTTCAAGGGGTGCAAATGTACATTGCCAGCTTCCATGAGGCTGAATGCACTGTTGCCTGTGTACTTTCATGGGGGTGTCACTGAACAGGTTGGGTTTGTGTCACTACTGACCTTCTTTTACTGTCCCCAAAGGAGGTGGAGGAGCTTTGGCCCAAGAGTGTGTTTCTTTATATCCAAATTCTACCGTCACAATTTATGACCTGCCCAAAGTTGTGCAGGTGGCCAAAGAACAGTTTGTTTCCCCCGAGGAGCGTCAGATCACTTTCCAAGAAGGTAAGTGTGGGCAGTGGTGTGGTGTTGTCCCAGCTGTTGCTCCAGAGCCCTGGCTCAGCTCAGAGGTGTCATACTGGAGGCTCAGGTCCCCAGCTGCCCCTTATTGGGACAGCGTCTCAGGCTGCAGCCTCCACAGCCCAGCTCTGCAGCTGTCCCAGCTGTCCACCAGCAGCTGTCAGAGACACAACTCAGTTATTCAGCAACATTAATTCCTGAAGAGAACTATTTCCTTTCTTAAGAGCAAGGGTATATTAGCAAAAAACCCAGCATCATGCAATTTTGAAATCTGCTATGCTTTGTTATAAATTTTCCTAACGCTCCCCTTTTCTCCTGTGCAAACCTCCTGGCAGATGTGAGGGATGCCAGGTCTGCTCTGAAGAAGGGTTTTTCCTTCTCTAGTCAAAACTGATTGATCTTCAAGTCCTAAGATATTTTAGAGCATGAAAGTAGGTGAGCTAGCTCCTATTCCTCTTGCCCAGACCACTGATCCTGCATAGTCTTTGTACTATGTATGTGAAAAATTACTATAGGGAGATCTCATTTTTAATGTTTACAAAAGTCTTCAAAGTGCTGGAAGTGCTTAAAATTGCTCAAAGCTGAGAGAGAGAAAAGGAGCCTTGAGGAGGGAAGGGAGTGTACAAAAACAAAGATACAACAAAATGGGAGAAGAAATGACAAAGTAAAATGCTGAGAAAAAAAAGCTGAATGCAGTACAGCAGGAGCTAAACAAAAGGAATAACAAAGCTAGGGCTCCGAGGTGGGAGATGTGTATTTTTATCTACAGATTTATGAAGCAATTCCATGATTACCAAAGATCTTTGAAAACTTTCTTAGAGAAGGCAAGATTCTTTCCTTCTTTCTCATGATAGGAACTGTGTGAACCTATGTCCTTAGTGCAGTATGAATTTGAATTTCTTTCATTGGAGAAAACCAAAACTGAAATGCTTTCCTGTGCATCAGTCTATTTCAGGATGAGTTATTGCCTTTAAATGTTTCAGATCTTCTTGAGACTGATCAAGAGCAAAACTCACTATGCAGTGCAACAGAGGACTTTCACCTGGTACCTCCATTGCTGTCTGATATGTCTGAAGGACATTGCAAGTCTGGAATTAAACAGAACTGAAAATATTTGCATAACTCAGCTCTCAGTGTTATGGGGATTTGTATAATGCATGTATTCTTGCTTTACAGGAGACTTCTTTAATGATTCAATACCTGAAGCTGAACTCTATATTTTATCCAAGATACTGCATGATTGGGATGATGACAAATGCAAACAACTGCTGGCAAAAGTCTATAAAGCTTGCAAACCTGGTAGGTGTGAACTCTGAAGAGCAGAGAGACTGTTACCTATCAGCAAGCAGAATCACACCAGTCTTGATGCTCAGTTTGGATGACAGAGTTTCAGTACTGGAGTTCCTGGGCTTAGTCATTTGCTTTTCCTAAGCCAGCTACGTGCAGCTAAGACAAACAGCACCCGGTCCAGGATTTCTTTATCTGGCTTCCAGTTCTTGTCTCTTCTGTAGGGACTCCTCTTTCAAGGACTGAAGTGTAAGGATTGAGAATTTTGGGTGTTGTTTATATAGGTGTATACATGACAAAAAAAATCCCATTAAGCATCACAATGAAGCCTCAGAGTTTCAAAAGCACTGCCTACAAAGCAAAATCAGTAAGGTCCTGTAAATTTCAGCTGGGGAAAATGGGAAATTTCTGTCCCAGCCATAGCACCCCCTTCAACTCTGGGATGTCAATACCAACACAACAAAGACATGCTCTGGTGCTTTGGCTCTTTCATTGTCTCCTGTGATGCTAAAATGTGACTTAATGTAGAGATTGCTTCTTCCTGAAAGTAAGTTTTGGATCTGTCCTAGTAAAAGCTCAAAAATAGCTCAGCTTTTCACTGCTCAGGGTGTGTTTTCTTTCTCTTCTCTCCATCAGGTGGTGGAGTACTGCTGGTTGAATCCCTTCTGAATGAAGATAAAAGTGGGCCTGTAGAAACCCAGCTATATTCAATGAATATGTTGGTCCAGACAGAAGGGAAAGAGCGAACAGCAGCAGAGTACAGCAAGCTCCTGGAGGCAGCTGGCTTTGGAATGATTCAAGTAAAGAGGACTGGAAAACTCTATGATGCTATGTTAGGAAGGAAACAGTAGTACGTGTTTTATGTATGTAACAAAACAGAAAAGGTTGAGAAATGTGCTATTTTAGTGGGCAATGATCAGCTTAGCTTTTAGTTAAGGCTGCCAACTTTTTTGTAAGCTGATACATTGTCAAAAGACTCGCTAATAACACAGATCTTCAACATGCATGTATGACAAATCTGAAAGCCTGGCTTGGCTTGGCTTTGGATCTGGGAGGAAAAGAAAGAAATCAGCACCTGTTCCACAAGAAACAATCCACAGAGGAAATGTGTAATGTGTCTGCTTCAGCTTGTATCTGTCTCTTTGATTTTTAACACTGTATCTGACAGAAGCAAAGCTGAATTTGTACTTGAGTTCCTGCAAAATAAAACTAATCCCTGTACTGAGCTTTTGTGCCTGCACTTTTACTCCTGAAATATTGATATAATAAAATTAGACCAAATTATGTCTCCTTATGGTCTTTTCAGAGTTCCAGGAGAAACCCTGTCTGAGCCTTGGGGAGTTTTGAATGAAAAAATATATTAATATTTTATTTCCTCTAGACTTTGATTTAAATTATGAAAAAGTGTTGTACTTTAGTGACTAGTTGAAGCCCAGGGATTCTTATTACAAGACAAGTAGGAAGAAGATGCAGCCAAGTCATTCTGTTATGTACTTGGGTTGTCCTTACTGCATGCCTCCTGCTATTTCTTTAAATCATTTGATCAAACACAGTCTGCCATTTTCCATGCAGTTCTTGGAAGCAGAATAATACATTACTGAAGTGAGAAACATTTGGAGAAGGCACTCTGCTTTTTTTCTAGAACAGTAATTGCATTTGCCCATAAAGCTGGATACTAGAGGAGCTTGATATAATTTACTCAGTACCCATCTACAGGAGCCTCTCACTCATATGACTGTAGGAGAATGACAGGGAGAAAGTAGCCTCAGTACACACAGGAGACACAAGGCTTTAATATCATTGCAATTACAGAGACATGATGGGAAAGCTTGCATGATTGGAATGTTGGGTTTTGGGGAGTCGTTTTTTTTTTTCTTTTTTTCCTCTAAATAACAAACACTGTGAAGAGAACCAGAAACAAGTGCTTTGCTACATGCAGGTAAATTAAAACCCTGTTTGTTCTATAGTTTCCATATTCCAACAGACATTTCTGATGACACCTCGCTATATATAAGGTCTCTTGTCCTTATTTTTCGCTTGTTCTTGAATATGTTAATTTTTAAAAAGCTTGTGCCGGAAGAAAGGAATGAAGGTGGAGGTTTCCAAGTTACTCATTTTTTGGGTGATGAAAGCTGTTCCCAAGTTCATGCCCTCTCACGGTGCTGTAGTGGGAGGTTTTCTGTTTGAAGCAGATGGCTTTGCCAATAGAGTTCTTTCCCCCTTCCACAGAGTTTTTCACCATATAGACTGAGATACATTTTCTAGCTCCAGTATGGCTTAGGCATGATGAATGAAAGCTGGCCACAGCTGGAAGGAATCAGCCCAGAGCTGAAGAGTGCCCAGGGCAGGAAACAGCTGAGACTGGCTGTGCTTGGCTGGGCTGAGTGAAGTCAGCTGCTCCCCAGGCTGCTCTGTCTGGGAGGACAATCCAGCAGGGCCTTGGCCTGATGGCCTGGGAGTTACAGGAAACAGCAGACCGCAGGAAAAGCAAGGAAATTCGCCATCTTAAGGAACCCTTCTTTAGAAAGACAACAGCCCCACTGCAGTAGGATCAGGCACAGGCTGGGGCCTGAATGCTGCCTAGAAACATCTTGCCAAAGGAGACCTCAAATGGAGGGCAGAATGGGGGAAATTGTCCCATGGGATCTGTGGCTGTAGAACCACTGTGGGACAGCAGGACCCACACTCCAGGTTCCATGCTGGCTCCAAGGTTCAGCTCTCCCTTCTTCCACTGACCTGCTCTAGAGAACCCTTGAGGCACCGAGCACCTCTCCACAGGCTGTCCTGAGCTGTGTGTACTTCTATAAATGTGTGGGGTTTTACCCCAAAATTCTCCACAGTTTTCCCTTCTAATGTTTAAGCCCTGTAAAAAAGCCTTATTGCAGACTAGCTTAGTGTAGTGCAACACTTTGAATGAAGCAACATTTTGAATGAATGCAACATTTTGAATTAAGCTCTCTCAGGGTTACGGAAAATGCTCTACACCGAAGGCAGGGGTGCTTTCTGGAACTCAGTAAGGAAGGCCTGCAACAAATGGCTTGATAAAGCAACTGTTTTAATGAGAAAGAAGAGGCAGATAGATAGCAAGTAAATCTTGATGTTTCTTCAGATGACATCTCTCCCTGCTCCATCCAGCGCTGCATGGAGCCCTGTTGGATTTTCCCACAGTGTATTGTAGAGACGCTGTCCCTGGAAGGAAATGCCTCATTTTGAGTCCTTTGGGTTATAATTTTCTTACAAGAAAGAGGCTGCTCTCACAACAACATGTTGTTGCGTTGTTAAAGGCAAGGCTGTGATGATGGTGTAGGAGTGAGAGCTGCCTGAGCCCCCCTGCAGCTGAGGGATATTTGTGGCACGGCACTGGCCTCAGGCCACCCTGGGCATGCAGCATGGCACCGGCCATGAGCAGCACTGACTCCTGGGTGTACAAAAAGCTCCTGCTCAGGATCAGTGCTTTCCACTCCTTGGTCCACCTGCAGCTTACCTTTCCCAAATATTTTATGGATTACAGGTTACCTTAATAACACATGAGTTTCTCAGGCCCTGTGAGCAGACGTGGCGTGTCCCTCACTGACTCCCTGAGCACAATGTCTTCTGAGAGGCTGCCAGTAGGACAGCCTTTTCAGAACTGGGTTTCTCACACTATGAAGTTTCTGAAAGGGTGCAGTATACATGTACAGGCTTGTTAAAAGCAATTTAATTGTTACAGGGTGAAACAGATCCCTTTAAATTGGAAATAGGTCTTTATGTTACATATTGGCGCAATCTGGCTCTCAGGGGCTGACTCAAAGCAAATAAAACTTGTTGGTTTTTTTCCCAACATCTCAGTATGAGGCTTGAGAATGACTTAAGACTCATGCTGTCAGAAGGATACATATTAAGTCTTTGTTCTGTGCTGTGTCTTGTACCTTTAAAACAGGTAATGCTTTGTTGAAATGGAATACACTCTTAAACCCATAAACCTTCTCTGTGATGAATGAAGCAGTGCTGGTGTTACACCTTGCTGATTTCTTCTTTGAGCATTTATAGTACAAAAGGAAGACTGCAGTTCCAGACTGTGATAGGAATGCTAATGATGCCATGGCTTGACAAAACTGTTCACCTCTCAATGCTTATTAAAAACATGAAAAAATTAAAAATGGTGTCTTGTTAAATGCAAGCTTCACAGATTCTGGGCTACGTTGTCCAGAATGAGGAGTTGTACATTTTTCTAGTTTGGAATTTGCTCTGACTTTTGTATGTTTAGGCCTAGTATTTTGGTAACACAGGAGATCCTGTAGTCTTAGAAGCTGGGAAACAGATACTGTTTCTGAGCTGTATATATTACGACATTTTGAATGTTAAGAATATTAAGAAATCCATAATGTGAGGATACTTGAGTTTTGAGACCGATTATTAAGGGCTCTTCAGCCTCGCAGATAAAGGCAAAAGACAACAGCAGTAATCAACCAGATCTAAGTACAAAAGCTAACAAACAGGCAATGAGAAGCACGGTGACAAATATTGGAACTCCCTGTCCCCTTAATGGAGGACCACTGGAGGATGCCCACAAAGCCATTAAGAAGTTCAGCCAAATATTTTTAGCTGAGAAGAAGGGTGGAAACAAAATTATCAAAGGGCTTATCAGAATGAAAATGTCATGGGAAGTTAAAGTTGTCTTGTGGTAATTATTGTGGGACTTGTGGGAAACTTGGAGTATTTAGAGAAAGGGCCAAAAGCAGGAAATGGAGGAATAAAGGTGGGTAGGGGAGGAACCAGCCTGGTGGAACAGAGAAAAGATGAGAGAAAATGTACTGATCATGTTGTGTAAGCTGCTGTTCCCCACACCCGTCTGGCTGAGCTGCATGCCAGATCAATAGAGGTTTTCTTCATATTACATTCTATCCCTTGCTATCTTCTGTTTCTTTTTGTAAAGCCTTCCCACACCAAAAGCCAGTTCAGTGAATAATCTATGTTTTTGAACAAGCCTAAAGTAATATTCTGCTTTGGTTTATGAACTCTGGTTCATCATGCTGAATTCAGGTTCTTGGTATAATTCTGTACTGATTCCTGTTTTGCTTGTTACAAGCTTTCAAGTGCTTCTGAGGTGCCAGCATGTTGCTGACTGATGAACTGACAATACAAGCTTTAATCCACACTGCCCCTTTAGCCTAATACTTGATGATGGAAGAAACAGCTGAACCTGATAGAAGAACACATCAAAGCCAAATAACATGTTTTGTAACCAGTGTGTTTCTCAGAAGCAATAAGATTATGTGGATCAGATGCTGTACTTTGTGTCTGGTAGAAAGAAGCTTATTTAAATTCAGAGAGCCAGGAAATCTGTGTCTCAGTCCAGAAAGATGAATTTGACAGAAGATCTTGACTAGTCTCAATTCATTGTGCAATATATCAGTGGATTTTTGGTCCCCAAGGTAAGAAATATAACTCAGTTTTATATAGATGTTGAAGACTGAAATGTTCAGGGACATTCTTCTCTGAGAATAAAATAGTTCATAATGAAGCATCATAATGTAAACTGACTTTGAACTTGAACAAGCATGATAGAAGTCTAAAGGTAAAAAACCCCAGCAAACAACTAAGGCAGATCTGGCCCTCAGGATGGACCTAACATTTATTGGGACCCCACTCACCTTTGAAGGCTTGGTTGAGTAGACCTTGTCTCTGCATGAAGGTTTAAAAACATAGTGGTTTATACGAGGGCTTGTTGTCTGACTGCCTTAAATGTGGAAGGTTTCTTCTATGGTGGGATTTCTTCCCACTTTTAATTTTTGAAGTTTGATAAACAAATAGCTGACTTCAATTGCCTTTTCAACCCTCTGTTATACCATGCAAAGAACAAGATTTTTCA